AATATAAACACTGCCATAGTCAACCTCCCCTCGGATCTCTCCCCCACATCTCTTTCAACCAGTCCAGGGCCAAGAAATAAACACTGTTTCTTCACATATCTCCCATTGCTCCATGTGGCTTCCTCAGGTCTCCTTCTGGCTTTCCATCCTGCTTCCTTCTTCCTTAAATTGGGAACCACCCTGTTACAACATAATGAGTTTTGAGTTTTCTTTCACTAGGTTTATTGTAAACCCGAATCCACAGTGTCCTACATTGGTATCATAAAAAGAGTCATTGGACTACAGAGCTTTCTTTTATTCCAAACAAAGTTTGACTCTCAAAACTATTGCCTCATGAAGGACTGAAAAGCCACTCTGCTAAGTAAAGGCTGAGAATGAAATCGCTCTGTTCTTGACAGTCTTAATACAGTGGGCCAAACCCCCTGAGGCTGAAAGATGTCTTGGGCTTCCCAGGAAGGTTACAAGCAAAAAAATGCAAAAGAGGAAGTCATATCAGTATATTTCAAAACTGTTACTCCCTTATCTGCTTAATAAGTTTTTAATTCAGTTCATATACAGCCTTTGTCTTTATATATGCTGGTTCCATGTGACTGCTATGATTACAGAATGCTTTTTTTCTTACATTAATTCACTTTACAAATTATCTAGGCAAGTCACCCAAAGAAAACAAACTTAATATGGTAATTTTGGCTATAAGGTTTAGTTTTCTAATGATGGGAACATTATCTGGGTTGCAGATGTAAATAGTATCAGAAGATTATTTCTATATTAATCCTATTAGAGAAAATTATCTGTGTTATATTATTTAAAGGGAGTGCAGCTTTTATTTTTATTCTAAGAAATTATTTCAATGAATAAGGCTCCATGAATTTAAAACTTTATGGTTATAGGATATACAAAATCAAGAAGCATCTTTCATAATCATTTTTTAATTTACTACATAATCATTTTTTAATTTACTACAAAACCAAATAAAGTTAAAAGAAACAATCTGTTCTTCAACATTCACTTACTTAAAAGTTATTGACTTTTCCTGAACAACCATATACCAAAGACATTTTGCGGGGGTGGAGTGGGGAATGGGATCAAAAACGGGGGTGGGGGCAAAGGAAATGCACGGGATTATGGTGATGGCACACGGGTGACTTGGTGATGGGAAACCCGCGGTGATTACAATTGAGATGAAAAAAAAAAAGTATAAAATGATGTAAAAATAAACTTTTGTAATAAAAGAAAAGTTATTGACTTTTCCAAGATGTTTGAATAGATATACATAGCTACTTTGTACTTTTGTACATAGCTTTAATAACGATAGGAAAGGCAGTCTCAAAAGAAATAGAACCAGAAAGTTTCCTTCTTTACAGATTAGATGAGTTTCTGGAAAAAAAAATGTATTGTTTTACTCCATCTTGTCTTATCAGCATGCCGTCATGCCTAGGGGAATAAGATCAGGAGGTCAAAAAGATTTATTATTTGGTTCTATTATTGTATAATCCCATGGTTTACTTCATAACTCTCAAATACACATTTTCTATGAACACTGCCTCTGGAAGAGCCATCGGCTATATCTGATGCTGATGTTTGTACTTTTCATTCATGCATTGCTTTGAGATTTTCATTCTACCACTTGTGTTTATCAAAAACATTTCACAAGACTTGGTTCTAGATAGGTCCTTCTTGGATGTTTGGGAGAGACTAGCCACCATCCTTAAGGTGTTTATAATTTTGGAAAAGGTTAGAACTTCTATTTTAACTGTGCTCAGAAACAGAAAGAACTGGTTTCAGAAAGCAAGGAATTTTATTCCAGGAGCCCCGAGTTTAAGCGTTGGTTGCACTTCTGTGTGATGTTGGACAAGTTATGTTCTACTCTGAGCCACTTTTTAAAATATATATATAATATAATAGTTTATTTTTACATCATTTTGTACATTTTCCCCCCATCTCAATTGTAATCCCTGTGTGTTTCCCATCACCAAGTCACCCTTGTGCCATCACCATAGTCCAGTGCACTTCCCTCCCCCCACCATTTTTTATCCCATTCCCCACTCCACCCCTATAAAATGTCTCTGGTATATGCCTGTTCATTATTCTTATTTTCTAACCTGGTCCATTATACTCCTGCTATGAGCAAAACCATCCCGTATTTTTCTTTCTCTTTCTGGCTTATCTCACTAAGCATGATCTTTTCCAGCTCCATCCATGTTGCTGCAAAAGACATGTGTTTCTCTTTTTGTTTGCTGAGTAATATTCCATTGTGTATATGTACCACATCTTTTTAATTCAGTCATCTACTTTTGGGCATTTGGGCTGCTTCCATGTTTTTCCAATTGTAAATAAAGCAGCAATAAACATGGGGCATGCAGGTATCTTTTTGAATCAGTGTTTTTGTGTCTTTTGGGTAGATACCTAGGAGTGGGATTGCTGGGTTATAGGGAAGCTCCATGTTAAGCAGCTTGAGGAACCTCCA